TGAGGCAGGAGGATTGCAAGTTCGAAGCCAGCCTCAGCAATGATGAGGTGCTAAGCAACTCAGTGAGACCCTGTCTCTAAATGAAATAAATAGGGCTGGGGATGTGGCTCAGTGGTCGAGTGCCCCTGAGTACAATTCCCTGCCCCCACCAAAAAAAAAAAAAGGCAAAAGAGAGACTTTGCGGCATCATCCCAAGCCCAGTTCATGCTTCGAAGCTGGTATTTTGGGAAGCCGGGTCTTGTAAGACCACATGGAGCAAACAGAGCACTTCATCCTGTCAGGCCTGGAGCAAATAGGCCTGACACTTTGGCAGCTTCTGGCCACAAAGATTCCCCTGACCAAGGCTGACCCAGACTCTGCCACCACATGATGTCCATAATTCTCCTTGGGCTCCCATAACCAGGGCTCCTGACAATTTCCCAAATCACCACCATCTCTTGGTTTCAGCTTGCGCAATGTTTTCTTTGGGGTTGGGGTGAGGGGAGGACAGATAACCAACAGAAAACCCTTAATAACTGCCTTGGCAGAATTCAGCCTTGTCCCTGGGTCCTGTGTCCTCTTGTCCTCATTTGTATGCTCAGTTAGGTTCTTTTGTTCAAATTCCAATAGCCACAGGCCTCTTCCAGCTCCCAGGGGTCCTGCAAGATAAGCAGCCATACCATGGGAAGCATTTGGACTTTCAAACAATCTGGAAAATACTTGAGAAGTCAGCCAGCCGAGATGACCATGGGGGCAATGCCACCATGTTCTCGGCCCACCAAGGAAATGAAGCTGTGGACTCTAGCCGGGTGGCGCTTGGATTATTTGCAATATGGGAAGAAAGCATTACTTTCATTTGACTTTGAGCCAAGTTTGCTTAAAACCAGGTTGTAGGGAGAGTAGTCAGCATTTGTTTTTATGTATGGGATGTGAGATGAAGTGACCCCGTGCTCTAAGGAAAATGAAACGCACAGATGGTCATCAAAGTCTGCAGTTAGCATCTGAGGACAACCATGTAGGCCACCGTCCTAATATTATAGACAAGGAATGTGAGGCCCTAACCTGAGTCGGCACAGCTAGGCTGCAACCTGGGACCCTTGAGTGTTCACCAAAGAATTCCACCACTGGGTGCCGGATGAGGCTCACAGCCAACCACGTGACCTTGGACAAGTCACTGGACTCGGGCCTCTGGTTCCTTATCTGTCAGCTGAGGCCATGGGACTGCATGATCTCCGAGCGGCCTTCCAGAAACAACATTCCAGGGTGCTCTGTTCGACTTCCAGCGATAGAGCAGCCTGGCCTCCAAGCCTGCAGGCGCTGTTACCTCCCATGGTCTGGGTAGAAGTCTTTTTTTTCTCTTTTTTTTTTTTGGGGGGGGGGGGGGTAGGGGAGGGGGGACACAGTGGGAGAAATGTGCCAGAATGGAGGACTCTAGTGTTTCCTGGTTTCTCAGCTGATAGTTCCTTTGACCTGGGTAAGAACGGGAAGAGATGGTTTCCTTCCCCCATCGCTCTTCCCTGACCCCATCAGCAGCCCTGTTCTCAGCCTCTGACCTAAGAGGCAGTGCAGGAGGGTGGTTATAGGCAGGTCCAGAGCGGGATGGTGTGTGTCCCAGCGGGACTCTGCAGCCTGCTGGCTGCAACACCTCTGCTGCTCACCTGGCCTCTCCTTCCTCCCAGTTTCCACAACGGGAAGCGAGCATGATGAAGGCCCCTGCTTCGGGGTGGTTTTGAGGACTGAATGTGCATGTGTAGAAAGCAATCCAGAGCCAGGACGCAGGAAGGAAGGGCTGGACAGGTGCTAGCTGTCAGCATCTTGGCTGTCACGTGATCTGTCCGGCACACAGAAGAGTGCCTCCCATCGATGACCCTGGTCAAGGACTGAGTTTCAGTCTGAATAACACCCATACAATACCCAACAGCCTTCAGTCTTCCTGTGAAACGGGACCACCCTGAACCTGCCAGAAGTGGGGGGGGGGTTTCCCCAATTAAAATGATTCCTGTGTAACCACAGTCGGGAGCACAACTGGCCAAGGCTCCATTCCACCAGGGGCAGATTGTCATGTGGAATCACATCACCTTATGGTCACTTCCCTCTTGACAGCCACTCCTCCCCCATCGAAACTCCCCGTGGAAGAGGAAAAGTAAACTTGGAGCCTGTCTCTGTCTCTTCAGGTTGATGCTGGGTTTAGTCCACCCCCATCCCTGCCACTCCCAGATCTCTGTCCTTCTCTGCTGGCTATCTGGACAGATGGCAGAGCCAGCTCTGCACACCCAAAGCACATGAGTGAAGCTGGCCAGGCTGGGGCTCTGCTTCCTCTCTCTGCCTGGAAACCCAAAGCACCAGTTTGTAGAGCAAGGAGGAACTCTGCCCCACCTCTGATTTCAATTAGGGATGCACACATCCTGTAAAGTTCTGTCTGACTCGTCCCAGACCAAATGGATTGGGTGGCCAGGCCTTGTGATCTCCACAGGGTTGCGGAAGACCATCTTCCAGAGGTCAAACAGGGAAAGTGGAGCCCCATATGCTTCAGAGTGGAAGAGGATGGGGCTTAAGAGCCAGAGCATGCACTTCCCAACTTTTAAGTGCCCTGTGACAAATGCTTTCCATCCAGCAGGTACTGCATGTGCCTGAACAGAGTGTCACCCCCAAGTATCACAACCCTCTCCCTTCCTCGAAAAGAGAACATTACCTTTTTTTCCCTTAACTTAATAACAATCAGAAGCGTGGTTGCCTTTTGGATCAGAGTCTGGAAAGGGGCCAGTGGGAACTTTCTGGAGTCGTGGACATGTTCCGTACTTACATGGGGGTGTGTGTGTGTGTGTGGGGGGGGGTTAATGGGTGATCTCATTTGTCAAAGTTCATCAAACTGCACTTACAATCTGTGCATTAGAGGGAATCTAAATTTTATTTCAGTTGAAAGTGTTCGAAAAAGGAATAGTCAACTAATAATATTTAATTATGTAGTTGTGCACTCAAAATCGTAGAAGAGTAGCATTCGTTTATAATAATCTGGCCATTTTCTCACATCTCACAAATACTTGTATTCAAATGTACATCCTTTGAGAGCACTGTTGCTAGGCCACTTTTTTAAGACAAGTTTTCCAGAATATATCATCTTTGATCTTACTTATTTGAAATGCAGAATTTTTTGAGTTCGCGTCTGAAATTTCATTGCAACACACAAATATTCATTTACCCCACAGTGGTGGTTTTTCTCATTTGTCTTATAAGCAAATATTCATGATGTTTACCCCAGTAACAACATGTGTATTGCTTTCTAAAATGAACTTTAAAATATTTATCATAACTTTAAACAATTGGATCCATGAAATAATCATCAAAAATGCATTAAACTTCAGTGTCTCCTTTTCATTATTTCCTCTAGTAACTTCTAAAATCATCCCAAACTAGTGTTAAGATTGAGTCCTGAGATTCCTGGCTGATATATATACCCCAAATTTTGCATTTCAAATAAAATAATTGAAAGAATCCCAAGTTGTGAGCACTTTTAAAGGACAAAGAGGGTCCCAAACGACGAGACATTTTTCAAAGGCAACGTTCATTTTTCTCATAGTTAATCTTGAGGAAATAAAACTTCATTTTGTTTGTTTTCAGACATGTATAGTAAATTTTGGAATGTGTTCAGAGATAAAGCAGAGATTAATTTAGCGAATTTTGGTGGCCTCGTTTTATAGTGCATTATTAAAAGATTATCATTCTTACGTTGGAAGTTTCTTTATGTAAAAACTTTAAACCCTGCACCCTAGCACAAATGGGAAGTTGAAACATTCTTGAGAAAGTTCAAACACACTATATTTTATTCGCAGGCATCAAAGATAGGAAAGTTTAAACAGATGATTCTAGTTAGCAAGGGGATTGTAAACACAGTCCTAAATTATGGATTACTAATTACTAACATTCTGGTCTGGCCTTACATCCTGTTCAGTCTTTAGCTATCACCAGGGTATATGGTGATGGATGAAGAAGACCTCGTTCAACGGTTCCTCCAGGTGGATGTCAAAAGGCGCTGTTCTTCTAGAACTCCACCTGAAAGGCTGCACACCACTGTTTGGGTGTGTTTTGTTTTTTCGTAATGCTGTTGCTCAGCACCATTGCCATGGCTGTCAGAAATAAAATCAGATGACTCACCAAGAGCTCACCGAATGTTGAAGTCCCTGTCTGGCTCAGTGCAATGTCTGTCCAGCTTTTTTTTTTTTTTTTTTTTAATCAGAACTCTGATTTTAAGTGGCATCATATGTGGCTGATACTCTAGTTGGAGCAGAGATAGAGCACAGAGCAGCGTTAGTACACTTTCTCCCTCCCCAGAAGGGCTCCTCCTCGCACCCTGAGGGCTCTAGGAAGACTTCTAGCAGAGGACTATCTTCTGGCAAAGGTCCTCTTATGGATCTTAAGGTCTCAGAGGACCTGAGTTCTAGACCTGGGCTCTTGACTGTATGTGTGTTGGCAAGTGACTTAAGTTTCTTTTTCCTCATCTACTCTAATATCAGTGCCTAACAGAATTGTTGCACGGATGCTTGTAAATGTACTTTGGAAATCACGAAGCATAAGAAGTTTATTGTGTTCCAAGTCTCACTGTTTCCTAGTCACATCTCATTCACATGTTGTGTGCCATCTCATCTCAATGATTTAGGGACGTAAGATCCACATTTTCTATTATTTGGCCCTATTGATGCTTCAGCTTCTGCCCTAAAGCCTTTTCAGCCAGAGCCAGGTGGAGTGGTGTGCACCTGCATTCCCAGGGTGAGCTACCTTCCAGCTATGCAGGAGGCTGAGGCAGAGGATCACTCGAACCCAGGAGTTCCAGGCCAATCTGGGCAATACAACAAAAGACCCTCATCTTTAAAATAAAAGGCTTTTTAGCCATTCCTGTCCACTAGAGCATGAACAAGGAGAAAAAAAAAAAAAACTCAATTGGTACTTTCTTCATGACATGGGACTCCAGGAACATGGCCTATGGTTGGGATCAGCCATACTGACAAACCTCTTTCCATTCTCAGGTTGGTCAAGAGAAAGGAAACTGCTCTTTCCAGAAAAACCCAACCCCCTGCATCATCCCTCAAGAACAAGAAAATATCTTCCACACAATATTTGCTTTTTTCACAAAGTCTGGAAGAAAAGTCTTGGTAAGGATTTGCCCAATGGCTAGGGTAACATGGGTGGTCCTCCTCAGAAGGCAAGACTGAGATGAGAGGCCAGTTTTCTCTTTGGAATTTGTTATTTCCCAAGTCTGCTTCTCATCAATCGACTTATAAAATCACAAGCCTGAGGTTTCAATCTTAATGTTGAATTTATATTCCAAATTCCATTGCCTGGCAAAGGGAGAACCTTTTCAACCTCCAAGCACAAAGTAAAATGTTTCTCCAACTAGTCTGAATCTAAACAAGAGTAATTGTTCTTGTGCAACCACTTAGGAAAACCACACACACACATACACACACACATACACATTCTATGACCCAGCTATATATTGCCATTCCTGGGTCTATCCCCAAGGGAAATAAGTACATGCATCTTCTGAACAAATAGGACAAGACTGTTAATAGCAATTTTATAATAACCGAAGCAGAGAACAATTCAGTTAAGTATCAATAGGAGAATGAGTAAACAGTTGTGGTATATCCATGCCCTGGAATATCACACACCAATGAAATATATGAAACTACTGCAGCACACAACAGCCTAAGTAAATCTCACAGACATGCTACTGAATGAAAAAAGCCAAAGACAAAAGGACCAATATATTAGACCATTTCACATACACAAAGTTCAGGAATAGGAAAAAAAAATTAAGCTGGGTGCAGTGGTGCATGCCTGTAATCCCAGCTACTTGAAAGGCTATGGCAGGAGGATCGATCACAGGCCAGCCTGGGCAACTTGAGTGGAACCCGATCTCATAAAGGGCTGAGGATGTAGCTCAGTGGTAGGTAAAGCATCCCTGGGTTCAGTCCCCCGTACCATAAAGGAAGCACGGAAGGCCGGCATGCAGGCCTGCCTGTCAGGGCAGTGAGCTCCTCTGGAGGAGTACCAATGGGAAGGGGTGTGAAGGCACCCCTTAGCTGACAGAAATGTTCTACATTGTGTTCAGGGTGGTGATTCTCTAGGTATGAAAATATGTAAAAATGTATCAAGATATACACTTGAGATTTGTTCTATTTACTGCATTTTTAAAGAGTGAAGGTGGTAGAGATGGAATCGAAATGCTTTCTCAGTTCCTTCTCTCCCTATATCTTTAGTCTTTTGCTAGGGATTGAACCCAGGGCCTCACATGTGTTAGGCACGTGCTGCACACAGCCCCAATCCTGGTTATGTTTCTTTAGCTCTTCATTTCATCCTGGCACATCTCACGTTTATCATTTCCTTCCTCACTCTCTTCCACAGTGGAGAAGTGCAACTATTGGTCACTTGAAAGGTTTGGATTGTTTCACATACAAAGTGAGGATGGTACTTTTATTTTTCCTTTTTCATTTTCTTTTCTTTTTTTTTTTTTTTTTTTTTTTTTTTTTGATACCAGGGATTGAACTCGGGGGCATTCAGCCACTGAGCCACATTCCTAGCTCTATTTTGTATTTTGTATTTTATTCAGAGACAGAGTCTCATTGAATTGCTTAGCGCTTTGCTGTTGCTGAGGCTGGCTTTGAACTCACGATCCTCCGGAGCCTCCTGAGCCCTGGAATTACAAGCATGTGCCACCACCTGGTACTTTTATTTTTAAAAGCCCTTAGAATCCTTAGATGTAGTGATAAAGCACCAAGTGTTCTCGATAGACACAACTCTGTATCAAACTATAAATTTCACCTGCAACTGAAGCATCATGAAGGCAGATGATCCTTCAATACAAAAGAGAAAATGGAGTTGACCTTTCTTTTCATGTGTTTTTATTTCTTTTTGTTTATATTTATTTTTATTTCTTTTTACATAATTTCTGTGTTTTCTTGAGCAAGAGTCACATAACTTTGGAATCCCTCTAATTTCCCCTAAACTAAAAATTTGCCACAAACACACACCAGCTACTGCACAGGCAGAAATTACATAATGTAGGAAATACGCCTGTGTTCCAACCTATTGATACTATCAGAATATGTAAAAGAGAAATTTTTTTCTCTTAAAAAAAATTTATTCTCTTTGTGAAATCCAACTTTTTGGTAGGATTAACTTGGGACATGCTTTTTTCCCTACTTGCTTGACTCTTAAAACCTGCTCTGGTGCCTGTCAGACTGGAAATCCCTCGAATGCCCTCTGGTGGTGACAAAGAGTAATTGCCTTGTGTATCATTATCGTTATTATCATCTTCATCCTTATCATTATTATTTTTTGTTTGTTTGTAGTCCTGGGCATGGAACCCGGGCACCCGAACATGCTAGGCAATCGATTTATCACTGAGCCACACCCTCAGCCCTGAATCTTCTGTTTGATTTGCTCTGCCTGGAATTGACTTAGTCACCACAACAGAAGCCCTAGAGCTTGCTGCTCTATAAATGGTTGTGGCTTTGACTTTGCTTTTATATCATTTGACAGTTCTCTGATTTTTTTTCTTCTCAGGATTGTGAAAAGCCAGGAATTTCTTGCCTAACAATGCACTGTAACCTTAGCGCTCTCACCAAAGAGGAAAGTCGCACTCTAGACATTTACATGCTGCTGAACACAGAAATATTAAAGAAGGTGAGTCCTAAGGACCTGCACTCATGGGCTTCATTGAAAAGCATTTGAATTTGTTTCCTCATGACACTCTGGCTGCTCCTTTTAAAACTTGTTTTGGCATGTGCTATCAGTAATTCTCCAGATGGTGCAAGAGGAAAATATCTGATGTTCACTACTCAAAGTGTATTGTAAGGACAATAACTTCATCGGGGAGTTTGTTAGAATCATAACTGGGAGCTGTGATGCATGTCTATAATCCCAGCAGCTCTGGAGGCTGAGTCAGGAGGATCGAAAGTTCAAGGCCTAGCCTGGGCACCTTGGTAGCAAGACCCTGTCTCAAAAAATAAAAAGGGCTAGGGATGTGGCTCGGTGGTAGAGCACCCCTGGGTTCCACCCCCAATACCTCCCCTAAGACTTACTGAATCAGCATCGTGACTTTAACAAGCCTCCCAGGTATTTTGTTCCCCATTCTTTAGTTTACATCAGAATTACCTGGAAAAAAAATTTCTAATTCCTTGTGGGTAGAGTCTGAGTTTTGCAAGTCTTATAGTGTCCCAGGTGATGCCAGTACTGCTGGTCTGGCGAACATGTTTTTGATCAAGGGTTGGCAAACCTTTTCTGTAAAGGGCCTGTGGGAGCTATTTTAGGCTTTACAGGCCATATAGTCCCTCGCAACTGCTCCAATCTGCTGTCACATTGAAAAAGCAGCCACAGACAATACTCAAATGAATGGACATGGCTGTATTCTAATAAAACTTTATTTACAAAAACAGGCAGAGGATCAAATTTGATCCATGAGGTGTAGTTTGCTGACTACTTGTTTCAGAGAAATCCAGTTTTTTCTTTCTCTCTTCTTTTTTTTTTTTTTTTTGCAGGGCAGGGGGATATATATCTATATATATCAGTGAATTGGTGGTCCTTGTTTCAGAGAAGTTAATTTTTTTTGCAGAGTGGGGGGACATATCTTATATCTATATCTTTATATCAGTGAATTGGTGGCCCTTGAAGAATCATATAAATTTACTCTGATTTGTTTTAAGGTAAGTGCTGCCGAGTATGAGAAATCCCTTCCAACAAGAAGCTCTAAAAATAATTGCATATGAAGATAAAACAAAATATGCATGTTAGCCGCAAAGATTCTATTTATTTTCCTTTGGGCAGACTAAATGTGTTTAGTGTGATAAGCCAATCAGCGGGGAAATGAATATCCTTACAGTAGTCCTTCTGTGGTCATTTTTAAATTAAACACAGCAATAACATGCTGACCTGCAAAGACAGGCAAGGGGGAATGTTTTCTCCCTATATTTAGTTGTTGCAGGCTCCACAAGCCCAGGGAGAGCTGGGTAAGGTTCTGGCTTGCTCTGGATGAAAACTGGTTTGGGGGAAGTTGGGCTCGCACACAGTGCTTCCATGGTGAAACCTTTATAAAGGACAGCGTTAGAGACAGACCAGGCGTGAACTAGAACTCCACTAGCGTCCTCGGCTTCCACAACGTCATCTGGAAGCCCCATGTCACAGGTGTCCCTTCCTGGCATGGGTCCCCAACTGAGGTTGGAGGGCCTGTGATTCTGTAGACTTACCTATTTTGTCTGTCTTCTGGACGGATGACATTGCTGACAGTTGAATTTCCCATTCACTCTTGCCACTGTCCACCGAGTTCTATCGATAGCACTGATGGCAAGAAACCACCATGATGCTTCCGCACCCTTATACCATATGGCTGTCACTTGCCCTTCAGTCATGTGTGCAGCTCTGCAGGCTGGGTCTTCTGCAGCTCTCTCCTAGTGACCTCTGATGATCCTTTGCCAAGGAACATGTCTCACCGACTGCTGTCCCCATGTCATTCAGGCCAGTGGAGCCCCAGACAAGAGAGCTGAGAACATGGACCCATGGAGGTTTATTCTCTAAGTGCCCTTTCAGCAGAAATTCCAGGTGCAGAGGAGAGCCTAGAATGCAGCTGACCTGGAAGGCAGATGGGGCCCTGGCTGCTCAGGGAGCTTGAAATGCAAAGTGTGGGTCCCCCTGACGCCAGCTCCTACAGGGAGCTGAGCCAGATGTTTCAGGGACCGTCACAGCCTCCCTAAGGACAGAGAACAGCTCCAGCCTTGTGGTTTTGCCTGGGCCTAGAGTTGTGTTTATTTTCCTTTTGACCTTAAGGTCTGGCCCTAGACAAGGGAATTTGAGGTTTTATTGTTTTGACCTTAAGTTTTTATTTGAAATGTAGGGTCTGATTTTTTAAAGCTTCAGGGGATTCAGATTTCTTTGAAATTTTTCTTTTAGTCTTTGAGGCTTCCTTCACTGACTCTGTAACCACCAGGGACCTGTTCTCTGCCAGGCTCCCATCGGCTTGGCCTTTGACTTGGCCAAACATCATCATAATTAATACCTGAACTGATAATGATGATCCATGGTTGTAAATACAGTCTGCCCTGATACATAAAACCACATATTTATAAAACTAGTAAATTGCTAAAAGATTACTCGCATGTAAAATTATTTGCCACTTAAAGTAGTTCACTGGAGCAAATCCTCTGAACAACTAGCTTCCCAGAAGCATTAAAATATGTTTTGGTGCATACCTGTAATCCCAGTCTGTTAGGAGAAGGATTACAAACTCAAGGCCCACCTGCGCAACTTAGCAAGGCCTTGCCTCAAAATAAAATAAAAAAGCTATAGCTGTAGCTCAGAGGTCAGATGATCCTGAATTCAATCTCCAGTATTTTATATATCCATATGTATGTGTGTGTGCATGCGCCCACATGATTTTTTTTTAATTTCAGGAGAGGTTGTACAATGGTAGTATTTGATCAGTTTACACTATATGCATGTATAGAAATATCACACTGGACCCCATTGCTATGCACAATTAAAACATGTCTATAAAAAATTAGAAATATGTTTCGTGGTTGTTTTAAAAATAACAATATTTAAAGTACACAAACTAAAATCCTTTGTGGTTTCTTGGGCAGAGATGAGAAAAGAGCCCCTTTGGAACTAGGCTAGAGGAAGAGTCCTCCACTTTCCTGTTTCTCTGTAGGTTTAGCCAGAAGTGAGTCAAAGCTGGCATCTGAGAGCCTCTGACTAGTCCATCTTCTGTTGCTGACACAAAATACCTGAGATGGGGTAACTTATGAAGAGTACAAGCCTATTTATAGTTCTGGAGACTGGGAAGTCCAAGAGCAAGGTGTTGGCATCTGCTTGTCATCTGGTGAGGGCCTTCTTGCTGCATCATAAACTGGCACAAAGGGCATCACATGGCAAGAGAGAGCAAGTGGGCAAGCTCAGGTCTCTTCTTATAAAGCCACTAATGTCATCATGGAGACCCCACCCTCATGACCTTATCTAATCCTAATTATCTCCCAAAGTCTTACCTCCAAATATCTCTAATATGTGACTTTGGGAATTCCAACACAGGAATTCTGGGGGGACATCCCCAAACCATTGCAGCCTCCAGAGTGACAGGCAAGCTGAGTAAATATGGTGGACATGTCAATAAGCATCTTCCTGACAGAGCGCAGGCCACCCAGTGGGGGAGGCCAGATACCCTAGTTCTGTGCCTTTCATTTCCACAATGGCAACCAGGGGCCTCTTGGCTCCACAGTCAATGCAGCACCATTTGTACCACTAACCCCAAGATCCTGGACCTTTCCTCGGCCATGATTTTGCCTCCTCTTGATGTTTTCCAAATTCCCTCTCTATCCCTGCTTTGGAGCCAAAATTTTTTGGTTGTCTGGATTGGTGGCTTTGAATCTGAGCCCATGAAAGGCTTCTGTTTCTGCTAGCAGGTAATTCCCGAGTCTCAGATGTGGCCCCTGCCCCTGGGTTGCCTTTCTAGTAGGCCTAATTTATAAGCTAGATGTGTCTCCCTTCTGAATCTCTCCATCAGATGCCCTCTTTTTAATGTCTAATGGCTTTGTCCCCAAAACGGCTTCATTTAAGGGCAAGCAAAGAGTTAAAAGAAACTCCTATAAAAAATTAAAAAAAAAAAAAAAAAAAAAAAGAAACTCCTATAAAGAAGCGCTTGAGGGCTGTGGTCAGGGCAGGAAGATTCTATAAAATAGGAATCAGATGGCTTCAGTGGAATGCCAGGCATGGGCTTGCTGTATACAAACAGCTTCATTTATCCTCAGCTCTTTGTAAATCCATCAATATCAACATCCACATATCTGGGTCTTACCACTTGGAAACCACAGCACACAAGTTTGCCTGTGTTGATTACTGGCAAACACTGTCATTTTTCTGCATCTACCACCATCCAAAAAAAAAAAAAAATTCTCAAGAGAAACTTTGGAAGTATACATTTATGTGGATTCCCGGGATGGGGAAGTTTTTAGTTCAGTGAAAAAAAAAAAAAAAAAAAAAAAAAAAAAAAAAACCTTGTCTGGTCTACAAGGAATCTTGGAATTTCAGTTCTGCCCAGTCCCTCTCAAGGAAAAATCATTTGTCATTGTCATTGGAAAATCTTACGGTGAGCTGTTGTTTCCTCCACAGGACAGTTCATCTGTCATCCAGTTCATGGCTCGAGCCAAGGTGAAGGTGGATCCCGCCCTAAGGGTGGTGGAAGTGGCTAATGGGAACCCAGAAGAGATGACGGTGAGTGTACCACCTCCCCAGTGAGAGCCCTCCTCAGAGGGCCAGAGGAGCTGGGTGATTGGAGACCCGGAGCTGGAACGTGAAGGAGAAGAAAGTCTCTGAGCCAAGGTGTCGGGTTTGTGGTAGACCCAGGACCATGCCTGCCTTGGCCTCCAGGCTCCCGTGGAGAGCTATGGCTTGTTCTTATTGTGCTAGCATGTTCTGTAGGACACCATTGTTATGTGAAAGTTTCCTGCTATGATTGGCCAAAGGAAATATAGTCTGGAAGTGCCCTTGGTGGGGCCTGGATTTCCACCCAGAAGCCAGGACTATTTTTATGTGTCTTAGACATTTCCCCAAAATCTCATCTGCCTTCCCAATCACATTGCCCCATGGACAAACACTGAGTGTCTTAAAAACAAGCTGTTTGGTTAACTTGAAGAAGTCACATCCACGTTGCCAAGACCTGGAACCTTCTCTTTCACACTCTACCTGTCCCCTTGTCCTCCAGAAGGTGCAACTGGCACACAGGCATCAGGGACAAGGGAGGGTGCAGCAGACCTCGAGGCTTAGATGTCAGGGTGAGGGAGAGGCTGGAAGAAGACGATGACCTTGGAATTCTGCTTTTATTCTTGTTCCTAGACAGGGGGACTCACCTGTTGTTTGACCCCCACACACAGATCCTAAGGGGAATAGGAAGGGGAGGCAGCAGCCACAAGCAGCTTTTCCAGGGCACTTCTGTTTTTCATCCCATTCCCTGGAATATACCTTCTTGAGAGAGAGACTTGCCTTCTCTGGGAAGAGTCAGTGTTGCTATGGCAAATTTACAAAATTGATAAATTCATAAATATGAGGTACGTACACATATACACACCACAAAAAGATTATTGACTTATTTGCTGATAACATTGGAGACTCCACATGTTAAAATATCAGGATCCAGAGCAAACCAAAGTTCATGCTTTTAAGACCCTGGCTGGAAGGGATTCCTACGAGAAAATAAACCCTTGGAGATTTCAGTAAAATCTTAGTTCTGTTCCTGTGGTCGGTGAGTAAGAGAGGAGAATGTCAGGGAACCTGGAATGAGCGGGGACACCCGGGCAGGTGAGGTGTGACAGTGCTGCATGACAGGTACTCCACGCTCAGTACAGGAATGCAGGGCCATTGGTAGACATGTGCTCCTTCATTCACATGGGGACGTTGCCCAGGCACTAGTTTTACTAATAGAAACAGAACAGAGTGGCCTTCCAAGACCTTCACCCCATAGCATCAGTTCTTCTGGCAGGTCAGTCGCTTGGAGTTGGCTTTTTGTCTTTTCCTCCTACCTTCTGGCTGTTTAACTATCCATGGGGACCATCCCATGTGAAGTTAAGGCAATCAGTGGTTCTCTGCTTGTTGCAATAGCTCTGGTTAAAAAGTCTTATAGAATGAAATAACATGCCCAACATCAGAGATTTAAAATGTTCTTAATTGTGTTAACAAGAGCCAATGGAAGCCAGGCACAGGGTGCAGGCCTGAAATCCCAGCAGCTCTGGAGGCTGAGGCAGGAGGAATTCAAAGCCTGCCTCAGCAATGAGGCACTAAGCAACTCAGTGAGACCCTATCTCTAAATAAAATACAAAATAGGTCCGAGATGTGGCTCAGCCCCTGAGTTCAATCCATGGTACCCCCCCCCCCAAAAAGTGCCAATAGAAATAACTAATAGGTTTCCTACAGGTGAAATTCTTTGCTAGCTGAATGAAAATCACTGGGCACGTTGCCTTCTAATAGAGGACTAAGCTGTGGGATCCAGGAAAGCATTGCTTAACATCCCGCTGTAGGATTCTGAGTCATCTATCTTCCTCCAAAATACCACTTCCATCAGTTTCTGTTCCATTTTGAGCACCGTGGTGATATTTTTAGGATCAAGAGTTCTGGGGAAGAAGCTGATTATTTTTTTTTTCCCCTCTGTGCTCCCGAGAAACAATGAATACACCCGGGAATCCCATAATGCCCCCTTCTCCCTCCTTTGCATAAATGCCTTTTCAGTCTGCGAGCTAAGGTGAAGTTCTGCAATCTGTTCTCAACTTTCCTAGCAGGAAAAAAAAAAGAAATCATTTCTAAGTAGTAAGGCTTTCATTTTTAGAACAAACACGTTCTTCCCTGCGTGACTCTTCTGAATGCCTGGCTCTCTGTCAGCCAACCATCCGAAGGGGAATTTCCACAGAGGCTAGCGACCAGATTCAAATCAGACAAGGCTTCACAAGATTGCAGATTAGGCACCAAATTGTTAAGGCCTTGGAATGAACAGGAAATGTATTTGTGTATGGTATCGAGCAGGGTGTGGGTGAGAAGAGGAAAACAATCCGATTTTTTTAGTTACAAAAAAGTATACATGGTGGTAAATTTAACCGATGGGAAAACCAAATAATTTTCCTGTAATTCTTGGGTCCTTTATTTTTTTTTTTAATAAAAAAATACCATGGTACATGTAGTGCTTTACCTTTGGGTAACTAACTAGAAACATGTCATATTTTTAGACGTTTGCTTTATTTATAAATATATATATATATATCCAGGGTACTTCCCAGGTAGCATGTTAGCACGTGTCCAGGCCCAACCACAGCAAGTTCATCTGGTTCATATAGACCCAAACCTGAGAATTCCAGATGAGACCTTTGTGACTACTGGTGGTTAGGTGCCAATAATTCATTGAATGTCATATTCAACCCAACCTGAATTGACTTTTCAGGGAATTTTGTAGCCAGCATTTTGTCACTGTGACCAGAATACCTGACAAGAACAACTTAGAGGAAGAAAAGATTATCTGGGGCTTATGGCTTCAGAGGTTCAGTCCATGGTGGGTCCACTCATTGCTCTAGAACTCGGTGAGGCAGAATGTCATGGCAGAAGGGCATGGTGGAGGGAAGTTGCTCAGCCCATGGCAGCCAGGAAGCAGAGAAAGAAAGAGAAAGGAGGGAGGGATGGGGGTGAGAAAGGGGCCATGGACAGATGTAGTCCAGGCCGCATCCCCAGTGACCTCCCTCCAGCCACACCCCACCTGCCTACAGTTACTACCCACTAGTTCATTCAAATGATTAATCCATCAAGTGGATTAATCCACTGATGAGGTTACACCTCTCATAATCAAATCATTTCACCTTGAACATTCCTGTATTTACCTAACATGAGTTTCTCAGGGGACATTGAAGATCCAAATGACAGGGAATGAGTTACAGGTCTGAGGGAAAAGGGAAAAAGGTACTGGTTGGTGTTCATAAATATCATAAAGATTAAGAACACGGGAAACATAGCTGATTATGCCCCAGCAAGTTGGTCCTCGTGAAGAATAGGAATTCATCTCAGAAAGGTGCAGGAGTCCCTTCTTATTCACAATTTTTTACTTTCCACAGTTTCAGTTACCTGTGGTCAATCACAATCTGAAAATATCACATAGAAAATTCCAGAAATAAATAATTCATGTTTTAAATATTTTTTGTTATACTATATTGTTATAATTCTATTTTATTGTTTTCATTTTACTGAGCCTAATTTATAAATTAAACTTTTTCATAGGTATATATAGGAAAGAAATAGTATATATAGGGTTCAATCCTATCCACAGTTTCAGGCACCCACTGGGGGTCCTAGAGAAGGAGACAGCTGTCCTACAGAATGAAAATAAGGATGGGTTTCAAAAATGTTTAGCTCTAATCATACAGTCATTAAAAAGGCATCAAAAGATTTGGGGAGGGGACTTCTCTAACTCCTGAATTGGCTACTGAGACTCAGGAAGTACCATATATTTTTAAGAAGAGCGACCAACAGCTGCGGCCAGGAATTCCACCAATGCAAACTCTTGTAGTCTTGTACTATAGAATTTTTGTTCTAATAAGTAGTGTAAGACACTATCTCAAATTCCCTTTTCAGTCTGTATTAGAAACTAACATGAATTCTTGCTATTTTCTTTGTATTTTCCCAGTAGCAGATGGTATGATAAACATGTAAGTCCACAGATAACTAAGTGATTGTGGCCACGGGAGTAGAACCATATGAGATCTTAGGTACAAGAGGAGAGATCCCCTCTGTCTTGCTTGAGCAGAATCAGAATAGGTTAGAAGGATACCTGGGAGCCCTCAGAATTGCCAGAGAACCAGACAGGGGACACGAAGAGGGGTCAAGAAATGTGGGAGGTCAGGATCACAGACTGGGTCCAGCCCCAAGAAGAATTCAGAACCCTAGACATTGGACTCAGGTATCCTGGCTTCTCTGGACCTCTTGCTCCAGAGTCAGGCTAGAGCCTCTTGCTGACTAAAATTAGGCCTCTGTCCCTGGGGGACCAGGTCACCAGCACTATTGGACTTTGTAGTGGGGAGGAGGGACCCTATGTTTCCCTGTGTCTTACATAGTGGAGGATTCTCCAACACCAGAATGGGTTTGCATACCAGGCTGAAAAGTGACAGTTGTCTCTTCTGACATGCTGGGAGCTTTTTTTGGTTTCCGTTCTGTTTGCTTTAGTGAAGTTCAGGATCAGGCCTGAGTGAAAGTCTTTGTTCAATCATTTCGACCTTTTTTTTTTTCTTTTTTGATGGCAGCTTCCAAGTTGTAATATTAAGGAGAGAACACAAAAATCTTTGTCCTAAGGTAGTTGGGGAGGGTGCAAGCTCTTTGCTTTGTTCTCTTTTAAGAAGCAACGTGCTTAAATGAACAACGCCTCCTCAGGTCTCGTTTAATGGAGCAAACATTTGGGGGCCTTTGCCCTCTGTCTGAGTACTGATTGGAGTTCACAAATATCATAAAGAGTAAGAACAAGGGAAACATCTGATTATGCCCCAGAAAGTTGGTCCTCATGAAGAGTAGCAATTCATCTCAGAAAGGTGCAGGAGTCCCTTCTTACCCACAATTTTTCACTTTTCACGGTTTCAGTTACCTGTGGTCAATCACAGTCGGAAAATATCACATAGAAAATTCCAGAAATAAAAAATTCATAAGTTTTAATGTCATGGGGACCATATGTCTAGAGAGTTATTTGCTTCCTTCAC